ACGCTAACTCGCCTCCAGGTTGAAGTTTGTTCGCTACGCTCACTCAGCTGTACCCGCGGGCTTTGCCCCGTTTTACTTCATAAGTGAGCTCGTTCGCATGGCTCAATCACGTCCTGGTTGAAGTTCGTTCGCTACGCTCACTCACCTTTAGGTTGGAGCTCGTTCGCTGCGCTCACTTGCCTTCAGGTTAGCTCGTTCGCTACGCTAACTCGCCTCCAGGATGAAGTTCGTTCGCTACGCTCACTTACCTTTTGGTTGCAAATTAGCTGTTGTCATAGATAAAAATAAAATAATAGTGCTGCACCCTGTTGGTAATCCTTGTAAGTTTTTAATGCTTTTGCATATCGTAGAATCAACTTTTTAGTTGAAACAGCTGACTAAATTATTTAATTCCCTTTTAATATGAACTAGCTGTGTACCCGTTCTACGCACGGGGATCTTATAATATTCAGTTGAAACCTTCTTATATAACGAACAGCAGTTGGTTTGCATATTTTAAGATATGCTGGCCAAACTATTATACATAGCTTCATTTTATGTTGTTTTTTGTTGTTCCGGATCGGTATGACAATCAATAAAAGGTTAAATTACCTCTGTGTCTGCCGGTCGATCCTATAACGGTAGGCTTACTTTTATTTTTACTATCTGATCTCGTTTGCATGGCTCAATCACGTCCTGGTTGAAGTTCGTTCGCTACGCTCACTCACCTGTATGTTGGAGCTCGTTCGCTGCGCTCACTTTCCTTCAGGTTAGCTCGTTCGCTACGCTCACTTGCCTTCAGGTTAGCTCGTTCGCTACGCTCACTCGCCTCCAGGTTGCAAATTAGCTGTTGTCATAAATGTAAAAGAAATAATAGTGCTAGTGCTGCACCCTGTTGGTAATCCTTGTAACTTTAATGCTATTGAACATCACAGAACAGAACCAACTTGTTTAATTGAAACAGCTGTTAAGATTCAATAATTTCATTTCTCATAAGGTTAACATGGGCTTCCAGAAATTCCACGTCAAAAATCGACAAAAACTTGATTTTCAAGGGTTTACTGTTAAATATCTAACTGTCTCATATTCGATGAAATACGTCTAAAACCATCTCATATATGTATAGTATTTGGAAAATAAGTTTCAGGCGGGACAGTGCTATAGTTATTGAGGAGTAGTTGTAATAAAGTGCGTATTTTAGCGTTACCAAGAGAATGACAGATAGACAGACAGACAGACAGACAGACAGACAGACAGAAATTGAGATAAGGTTTGATTCGGTTTCTCTGACCTATGAAATGTAAAAATAACCAAAAAGTTCATTATTCTAAGCAATGTACAGACAAAACTCTAATTTTATTTATATAGATACTCATAAGGTTAACATGGGGAACTATAGAGCCACTGGGGCGGAGCCCAAAAGGATTTTTGAGATAAGAATATGCCTATATGTTAATCGGAAATGTGATCTATCATCATGCCAAATTTCAGAAAAATCCGTCCAGTGGTTAATGCGTTCACTTGTCACAAACATACATCCATACATACATCCATACATCCAAACTTTCTCATTTATAATATTAGTAGGATTAGATACACACACAATAATCAATTACAAAATAACCTGCACTGATTTTAGAATCTGTAACGGTTTTTTTTTATCATTTTGGGATAGATGAACGCAATGGACTCCGAAACCGCTTGACATATTGTAATGAAACTTTCAGGTATTATTAAGCATTACTCAAGGATGGTTTGTGTGAAGTTTGGTGCAGATCCGTCAAAAGGCTCCACCCCAGTGGCTCTGAAGTTTCCCATGTTAACCTTATGTGTACTTATATTTAAATGGAATTAAAGAATCTTAACAGCTGTTTCAACTAAACAATTTGATTCTATGATGTTCAATAGCATTAAAAAAAGTTATTAGGCTTACCAACAGCGTGCAGCACTATTATTTTTTTAAATTTATGACAACAGCTAATTTGCAACCAAAAGGTGAGTGAGCTGAGCGAACGAGCTCCAACCTAAAGGTGAGTAAGCGTAGTAAACGACTTCAACCAGGACGTGATTGAGCGTTGCGAACGAGCTCATCTTGAAAATGAACGAGCATGTGATATAAAACAACATTAGGACAGAATGGCGTCTGTCAGGCCAGCTAGTAAATTATATAAATGTAACTACTATTTTGCAAAAAAACTTTGCAAATATTAAATATCCGTTTTTAGTTCCTGAAACGGTTGACTCATACCCGCAGAGTTGCCCGTGCCCTTGGCCTAGACCCTGGCTCAAGGCGCGGCTTTGCCTCCTCTGGTCATCTGACCTCTGACCTCCTCTTTGTCCCTCCCTCCTCGCCATCCGATATATTACCAACTTTACCCGGTTTTCACTTTTGCGTTTTCTACCTTATCGGATGTAGCACGCCGAATTCCACACACGAAGTGGACACTGGAGATAGTGTTGGTACATTGCAGTTATCAGGTGTTTGAAAACGCGATCAGAATAACTAATACAGCTACATTCGTAAGCCGTGCAATTTATGTGATAACATTTAATCCTACAGTTAACCAAAATTGTGGCACTGTATTGATTGTATAGTTAAGATGCGTATGAAATGTGACATACATTTTGAGAGCGACAATAACTGTTGCTCGTTATACACACGAGACTTTTCCTGAGGTACTACAGTTAAGAAGTAATCGCATTCTAAGGAAACTCTTTGACAAAAAGCTAGTGTCACCGGTGGGATTCAATCTGGTTACCTCTCGGTCATCAGACTAGTACCTTTGACTATCGATACAACAGTATCCAATAGTCAGTCTCCAATAGTCAATGCTAGTATTCTATCCACTACACCACGAACACAGATGGAAACACATCGTATTGTTGCGGTAATGGTGTTCATTACATTCATTCAACCATCAATCGATTGAATCGAACCCATTTGATCCGAAATAATATCGATACTTAGTATTACGATATTGAACCGATAGTACACGGTGTTTTGTACGTAAAAATGGCCTCCCTTCAAGATCCTTCCCTCATTATGACACTGGACTCTCTGTGCCTGGTTAAAAAAAGATATATAAAAATATCGACCAACGTACCATAACATTACGACAGTCGGGAAGTACGATAACGTTGTGTCGTAAATATTTTACGACGAACAAAACATTTTACGATAACTGCAACACTTGTTATTGTTAAAAGTGGTTGAGTGAGCGGCCGACAGAATGCGCTCACAGCACTTTCTGGTTTCTACCAACGATGTAAAGAACTACTGGGTTGTTTAACGTGGAAAAAATGAGAAACTAAATATTTACCCGATTAAACCCCCATTAAACCCCGTTCCCACGGTCCGATCATGGTGGTTCGCGAACTCGTTCGAATAAACGTAGGTTTACACGTTAGTACATCAAAATCGGATCAGTTTTGCTCGAGTTATCGCGCTAACGGACACACACACATATATAAATACATATGAATTTGAACGGAGGGTGTTTTTGGCCTCTGGGGACCTCAAAACGAAAAAGTAAATCGGTCCCGGGTCCAGGTTTTACCAGGAGTACTACGGTAATAGCTTATTCCCGATATATAGGAAATTCGCTAAAACTAAATTTATAATTACCATGTTATTCTTATGTAGTATAAAAAACTGTTGTAGTTTGCTTGTATTTATATTTAACCCTATATATTTATTTTGTGTATATATTTTAATCAAATTCGGCAATTTCGTTTATTTAATACTGTGCTATCAACGTATCAATAATAACTCACTGTAGCAGCAAACCCAAGTACTCATTAAAATTAATGTTATTTAGATATAATACAAATCCGTAAATTTTAACGGAATATTTTAAAAATTGGTGTAAATACCTGCTTCTTGTAACCAAAATGTTGCTGCTATGACGCAACTAGTTTCAACAACCTCTGTCACGAAGTGATCTTCGGGCGTCCAGGGGATGTCAAATCACTTCATCAGAAGGTCGTCAATACACACATTACACGAACATGGTCACGGTTACGAACACGAACACAGACACGAACATTGAAAAGAAAAAGTACAATTTAACGAGCAAAAGCTAAAAATGGCAACACCGGTGAGGATGATGCGTCACGACCGGATATATGTAGCGTCTAGACTAGTTGCATCACAGCAACAACATTTTGGATTACAAGAAGCAGGTATTTACACCAATTTTTATTCAACGTAATCCGGAGGCTAACATCAACAATGGAATATTTTAGTAGAAATCCAGCCAGGTACAGTAGAACTCCAATTATCCGAACTCCGATTAACCGAATCTCCAATTATCCGAATCGCTTATTTCAACAATTTTAAAAACGTAAAGCTACAGTAATAAGTTTTGCAAAATATCAAAGAATTGTTATTAAACACATTTAGCCAATTTTGGACTTTGATGGAACACTATTGACTTAATAACATGTAGCCTATAGAACACTTGTACTATGAACATTGTAAACTGTAAACATGTTCTGATTTAAATTATTATTAATTAAAAGTTCACTTAGTACCGAAAATGAGGATTTTTCTTTAAAATTCCTGGAATTCCGGTAAAACTCCGATTATACGAATTTTTGATTATCCGAATGGGGTCTGGTCCCTATTGATTCGGATAATCAGAGTTCTACTGTAAATGGAAATTCAATTAGTCTGCAGGTTTGCTGTGGCGGAGGTATTTATTGATTAAAGGAGTTATAGATATTATATCAAATTCATAACACAATTAAGAAAATTGCACAGTTCTTTGAAATGAGGGTTGCATCCTTTTTAGGATATTTTCAGCATTATTCTATCTTTTTGCCTTGGTAAATAATACTCAACATTTGAAAATATTTTGAATATATTAAATTCGATTTCCAATATTAAGTTTTAGTCTATAACTACGGTTGCAAGCGAACTCTTAACTCGGCCGAAATTACACATCTGCTTAATGATGACTGATGGGTTTCGTAATACAAGTACGACAGTTTGTAACTGAACATTTGGCAGTAGAGATACAAGTACATGGGAATGAATCTGAGCAGCGGACTGAAGATTTGTATTGCGACTATTCTGATTTTGGTAAGTGGATGATATTATATCTAGTATATAGTTTGATCATTTTGTAAGAACAATTTACATGTTTTGAATTTTGTAATTGAATATTAGCATTTTATCGTGGTTTTAGCGAATTTTCCAAATAGGGAATAGGTTATTACCGTAGGTAAAATACATGGACCCCGGGACAGATACACCATCCGTTTGAATCTAAATATGTAAAAGTCAAAGCCCTACTGACTTGGCTCACTCACTCACTCACTGATTCATATCTATTTATCTAACTTCCCCACTAGCTACAACATGTATTTCAGATAAAAAATATGAAAGTGAAATTAATAGTTTTCATAATGATTTCACTAAAGTGTTGCATTTTAGAACCCCTAACCTTCCAATGTCCTTCAGTTTGTACAGATTTGTGTTTATCATGTCTATTTGTTGGATTGGGTAGAATTAACAGCCGCTTAGACAATCTTTAAGATTTTTAACTTTGGTTTCGCATTGTACGAATGTCAACTATTTGGAGGAGCAGTCTTCGTGTGTTTTAACTTGGTTCTGTTCAAGCCATGGACGTTGAGATAGTAAATATATAATCAAAAACAAAACTGGCACAACAACATTCTTGATAGTTCGTTACATTAAATATTAAATTGAAATATTGGACATTTTCAGATCGTCGGACAATGCTCTGTTCAAGGAGAAAACAAATGGAACAGTAAGTGTGATTTTGTAAAATCTTAAATTTATTTGGAGCTTATTATACTTTTGCTACGGGAAGTAAAAAGGCTCATCTTGTTAGTTTGCTCTTTCATGAAATACCAGACATTAGAATATAGAGTCTGTTTACATATCTGCATTTGGGTGATGACATCAATTTGACTAAAATTAGTATTTTAAATGCAAAACTAAGGTTTCGATTGTTTAATTAAAAACCTATAAAGCTCTACTTTAAAATGTGTGACACATAGCATAGATTTTGTTAAGCAAGGTTTAACTATAGTAAAACTATGTATACGTAGCCTTTTAGGTTTCTTGAAGCTTGCTCAAAGGAGGAAGAACCATTAACACAGTTGAAATACATGAATTTATTTACAATATTAAAAGATATACTGTTAAAAGATACATTATTAAAATATAGATTATTAAAAGATATTTACATTACTAAAAGAAATAGTCTGTTTACCTAACCTAACCTAACTTAACCTAACCTAACCCAACCAAACACAACACTATTTCAGAACACGAGTCAGCGTCCTCTTCCTCAGGTACCTGTGGAGACCCGGGCTCTTTCCATGCTTAAGATTTGTGAACCTTTTTGGGGATTAACATATCGGGCTCTTTTCATGTGCTCCGCTAGCCTAAATGGCGGGTATTCCAAAATTTGATTTATGTGAAAAAGCACCCATTTGGAATACCCGCCATCCATTGGAATACGCTCTATTATCCATATGGTTGATATGAAACAGATTTTAAAGGGGAGAGCATTTTAAATGCGGAATTATCTCTAAAATTAATGAATATAAAATTAAATTAAGACAGAATAAGAAACAAGTGTTTAATTGATTAAATTAAAAACATCACTATTCATTTCTGTTTTCTCACCCTGTTGCGAAGAGCGGGAACATCTAGATCTCTGTAAATTTAGTTCCATCTTTATACAACTTAGCAAAAAATAAACTATATGACCTGATTTTTTACATTTAATAAACCCAGATAGCTCTTCTATGTAACACGATTCTAAAAAGAATGGAATTTGAAAGATTATACATTTTCATTTCTGTCTATTTATCACAAAATATGTTATTCAATTATTAAATCTATTTCAACCCAACGAAGCAATGATTTAAAAAATCTTCTTTATTTGCAAACCCAAACGTACATTATTGAACTGAGTTTTACATGTCACAGTTAAAACGTGTATATTCATTTATAATACCGACAGTGTAATTTTAGTATAGGCCTAACTACATTTTAAAACAGGCTGATCCTGCAGACGAACATTTATTTCAATTTCATTGCAGTTGTCAAGGGGACAAAAACACTCAGTCGAACAAGACTCGCAGACATCAACGATCCATTCCAGGTGTGTGGAGATAGGCTCAAGCCTTTCCAATTAAAAGCCAGGCTCGTCACTCATCCTCTTGGGAGTTACAACATGGGGGTGCGTATAGAAATTCATACAAAAGGGAACTACTGGCTACACGGCATTGTGAATGAACTCATGTTCCGCGATTTCAACTTCGTAGCAGCCTACGAGGTTCAAAATGTCGTCTTAAGCCGCCGAGAGAAAGATAACGCGCGTGAAACAGTAGAAAAAAATATATGCGACTATTTCGGATTGGAAGAAAGCAAGTTGTACAATCTACCTTTATTCTACATCAAGTTCCATTATTCAAGGGAATGGTGGTGTGACACGTATTCTGGCTATGATCTGAATTACATGGAATTGGACAAGTGTGATGAGTTGAAAAAGGATTACGAGGCGGGAAGTAAATATACAGGTAATGTACAAGGTATTGAATCTGACAGGGCATCCTTTTTGAATGGATTGATAAAAAGACCTCATCTTTTCAGCTTCCGATACCAACTATGCATTTTTTATTCTAGCTTTACGTGGCATATTGGTTGTACAGTAACATGCGACGACACCTTTCATGAATTAATTTTTCCATATTTTCTTGGTTTTCCAACGCGTTGACCGTAATTTGTGTTAAGGGTATATCATTTTTGAATTGACATCACGAGAATTTATTACGATTGCGGAATCGACCAATTTCATTAAACGAGGCTGATAGACATCCCCTATCTAAGCGGGGTAGCGGATTTCTACCCCCGGATATTTACCCCGGATATTTATTATTTATTGATTTTCAAAATACACACACAATATATAATTTCAATCATATTTGCAGTTTGAGCCGCGCCGTCTTAAAATACGTGAGCTTGCCTAATACAAAAGTTTACTTTATTGAAATTATTTCATTCTTTTTAAAGCGTTTGAAGTTGGTTGTATTTTTTACAAAAATAAATTATCTAAATATGCTATTATGAACATGCTTTCTTATTATTTACTTTAAAATATTTTTGATGATATCATCATTTTGGTGACACACCTGTTGCGTTGACTGTTGTGTTGGCAACGACTTGGGGTATATTATAGCCCAAGAAGAATTAAGTATTTTTTGAGTTTTCGTTTTACAAGAAAAAAAAATAATTTGCATAATAAGCTAATGAATAACCGAAGAGCCGTTGACTTACATAAACCAATTAATGAAATCAATAACAACAATGCATCTTGGCCGATACGTAGCGTAGCTGACCATGGGAGTAGATGTCCGGGGGTAGATGTCTGGGGGTAGATGTCCGGGGGTAGATGTCTGGGGGTAGATGTCCGGGGGTAGATGTCCGGGGGTAGATTTCGAGTCGCGGGCTGTTTCTCGACCGTGTATAGGCCCCGCCCCTCGTGACGTCAAAATGACGTAGGCGTTTTTTCATGGGGGTAAATATCCGGGGGTAGAATTCCGGCGACCCAGCGACGGGACCATACTCGCTCTCCTGTCGGAAAAAGTTTTGACACTTGGGGTCTACGCTCTACATGGTAACTTAATTATTTAGAAAATTACGGATAAATAATAAATTAAATAATTAGGAGTAAATAATAATTTTCTTTGTGTTAGTCTACGAATTATAATAAAAGTATATTTAGCTTGTTAACACATTTTTTTAAGATGTCAACATAACAACATAGCAAATGTGTATGAGTTTAAACACATTTTCTTTTAGAGCTTTAATGCAATGGCCTTAATGCTTTGAATAAGGTTAAATTGCAGAAATAGGCTAGAAAGTTTACAAATGGCTGTAAAATGTTAATTTTAAAAGTAATTTTGATTTTTGTGGTTACTTAGGCTTCTCAAAGAAGACCACAAAGTGAAAATGATTTCAATGCCATTTCTACTCTCAATAACCCATTTCAACACTTTACCCTCACTCATTGCATTACGGTCATAGCCATCTGGCGATGGATGTTGGAATCGGATACGTTTCTTGTATTTAAAAACGTATCACTGACCTTATCTCGCACGAGGTGGGAGATTCTATAGTACATTAAAATTAACAACACAATTACGCCTACATCAGCTACAGAGCTGCAAGTTGCGCCGTTCCGATACATCCCAAAAAACAGTTCTTCTTACACAAAAAGCTCTGTTCTATTAGCCTATATCCCAACAAATGGTTCTTCTTTTTACACAAGAGTACTATGTTATATCACCCTACAACCCACCAAACGGTTATTCTTCTTACAGACGAGGATTCTGTTGTACAAGCCTACATCCCAAGACTCAGTTCTTCATCACGAGAACTCTGTTGTATCACCCTTTGCTCCTATAACTCAATAAACAGATCTTCCTCTTACACAAGATTACTCTGCTCTGTTGTATCACCCTACATCCTAACACACAGTTCTTCTTTTTACACAAGAAAAATCTGTTGTATCACCCTACATCCCAACACACAGTACTTCTTTTTATACAAAAAAATCTGTTGTATCACCCTACATCCCAACACACAGTTCTTCTTTTTACACAAGAAAAATCTGTTGTATCACCTTACATCCCAACACACAGTTCCTCTTTTTACACAAACAAATATGTTGTATCACCCTACATCCCAACACAAAGTTCTTCTTTTTACACAAAAAAATCTGTTGTATCACCCTACATCCCAACACACAGTTCTTCTTCTTACAGACGAGGATTCTGTTGTATCACTCTACGACCCAACAAACAGTTCTCCCCCACATATGGGTACTCTGCTGTCTCTAAGTACATCTCACTAGTTCCTCCCTAAACATGAGTTCTCTGCTGTATTTCCCCTCATCCCAACAATTTGGTCTTTCACCTGTACAATAGAACAATGATTCCTTGTCCGCATTCCAAAAAGAAAAATAGTTTTTCATCACTTTGCAATTGATACTTATTTGCTAATTAATGTTTTTATTTTCTAGTCAAAATTTCGTCAGCGCCAAAGGAAACAAATAAATGTACAAGAATAACATTGACGAAACACAATGATAAATTTAAAATTGAGGCTCTATCCTGCCCCAAATATGATACCGATTCAAATAAACTAAGGTTGATTACATATCACAAAAGCATTGAGCTAGGACACTATTACTTGTCTTTCCGCGAAAAAAGGATGATAAATCTTAGTGATTTGAATGGAGAAGGTGACAAAGTTCGCAGGCTCATTAGAATGAGAGGAGAGGAAATACATAAAGGGTCTTACACTAGAATAAGTGCTCAGTACTTAGATAAAGGATATTGGGCATGTCATGCATTCACCAAAGATATCAGAAGTAATTCTTATAGTCCAGACTCTTATGAGAAATTAAAATCGCTTTTTACGGGCGGCTGGTGCGGTAAATTCCTCACCTATCCACGTCCACTTGCCGACTCAGAGACTGTCACACCAGGTGATATGGATGATTACTAATCAAAGTGAACTGCGATGGAGACTGGTATCCTGCATGTCTATTGAAAATAATTGTTGATAAAAAAGTCAAATTTTTTGATACATTGTTTTTGTATACAATGAAGGAGATTCGTGTTGTTCATTCTAGCATACTAATAAACAACTAACTAAAGGAATGAGAAAAAACAATTGTGTGTTGTTCCTTACGTTCAGTGAACCCTTTTTTGTCAACACAGTTAATGTGGAGTATGATGTATCACACGTATCCTTTCTTTTGCACTCTTATTTCTGATTTAGACCTAAGATTTACTTTCAGCATCCAGTCTAGCAAATGATGAGAGCATTCATTTATTGCCCTGTTTGTTGGAGTGGAATCAATCTAAAAAATTTTGAATTGATTCATTGGCAAACATTCTGGCTTCCAGCAATGTTAAATAGCATTATAAAGTTACAAGATTGACAAACAGGGTGCAGCACTATTAACTTTTTGTTTGGACTTGCTGATAACAGCTAATTTGATCAAAGCAGCAACGAAATGCTGTGATACACAATGATAACTAACTGTCAAATACTACATAAATTGGTGTGAGCCAATATAACCACAGGCTTAATGGAGATAGTCATATTTTATTTTAATACTCTCCTAGGGCTCTGCCCTGACAGGTTATTGTGTCCAATGTTGTTCTTCGGAGTAACCATGAAATGCCACCCAACCTGGTAAGGCAATCATTAGTTCTGTTAATACTTTACGAAGTCAAACGTAGACCCGGTAAAATGGTCAACTCACAGGGTGTCCAATAAAGAACTGAAACATTTGAAAGGTCAATATCGATGCCAAATAAAAGACAATGTTTAGTGTTTTTTATTTATATTTGAAGCTAACTTTTTCAAGTTTTATTAGAAACATTGTATAACTCAATATGATATACACTAGGGAATTTACATCCATCGTTTGGGGGTTTTTTACATATTTTTTTTTTAGTTTTTGATAATATTTTATTTCAAATGAATCCAAACGGTTGACGTCCCTTGTTAATGTTTGCACAGGCTTCATTTTGGTTATGGGTGTTAATTGTTGAACACAAGTCAGCTGTTATTATGAGCTGAATGTTTGGTGTGGCCTCATGCACGATACGGTTCCAGGCCCTTTAATTATTGTTAAAAATTCTATAAACGGGGAAATTAATTTATTGTGATATGTTAGAGGAGTTCGTTTTCCCACAGTTGGATGACATTGAGATGGAGGATGGCCCTGTCTATTTTCAACAGGATCGAGTGCCACCACACTAGAGTTTGCGTTGGCGATAACCGCTTGATCGGTGGATTGGCAGGGAAGGGCCCATCCAATGGCCTCCTAGGAGTCCAGATATGAATTCTCTGGACTTTTCCCTTTTGGGGCAGTAAAGAATGATGTTTACTCGGTGCATATTCGGTATCTGAATCACCTCCAACAGAGAATATTCGCATGTGTCGGTGCAAAATCCCCTGAAGTACTGACCAAAACCTGGGAAGAGGTCAAATTTCGCTTAGATTTATGCCAGGCCACTAATGGTGTTCATATCAAGTCATACTAAGTTTCTAATAAAACTTGAGAATTGATGCTTAAAATACATATACAGGGTGTCCCGCGACTCTCTGGACACAAGTATATAGCGTTATTGCTTAGGTAAAGACAAACACATTCTACCATAGGAACATGGGTCTGTGGTGCCTAGCTTTCCGTCTGTCTGTAATTATTATGTGTAAAAAAAATAATAAATAACTCCTAAACTGTTTGAGATACAGCGTTTAGATTTTGCAAAATGTTTATCTTATTATGACCTATTTTCTTTCAAAATTATTCTTAAAAAATCATCAACAGTTTCAAAATGACAGCCCTTTCAAATAGTTGATGCCTAATTTCACGAAAACCGTCAACTTTACAAAAAATTTTCAGGAAACAAAAAGGGTTTTCCCTATCATTTTTCGGTTAATTTTATTATTTGTGCTTTACTGTTTGGTTTTATAACTAGGGGACGAATTGTTTATGATTAGATAGTTTTATTTGGTTAAACGAGATTTTAAATGACTTAAATAACAAGAAACAGATTGTAAACAAAACACAACCCTACAATGCACCGGACGGAACTAGCAATAAAATTGTCTTTAGCTGATCCATAAGGATCTACTAGCGAGTATGTTTTATCTATGAATTTACTCGGCTTGGGAATCGGATTATCCAGTTCTATCAATAATCAAAGATGTTACTTAATGCACCAATACAAACACTAGAATTGTTCTTCGTCTCAGTATTTGAACTGTTTCAAGAGCCTCCACTCTTTTCATGGTGACCACTTTTTCGTCTAAAAATGCGTGCGATTTCGTGACTATCGTTCGTTTTTCTATCGAATCACGACACCATCTATACTATCGACGCGATTGTAGCTGTCATTTGACACAGATCCTGTCAGAGGCTTATTGTGATACGGACGAAATGATAGCTTTCTATAATAAAATTAAACTGTCAAACCTAACCAAACTTGCTGATAATATAAAAAAGATAGAAGATAAAAATCGAATGAAGGTTTACTAATCGAAAATATAGTTCTGTTCATAAAATAAAATATATGCCTCCAATTCTAACAACAGATGTACTACAGTTAAGAAGTAATCGCATTCTAAGGACAATCTTTGACAAAAAGTTAGTGTCACCGGTGGGATTCAGTCTGGTTACCTCTCGGTCATCAGACTAGTACCTTTGACTATCGATACAACAGTATCCAATAGTCAGTCTCCAATAGTCAATGCTAGTACTCTATCCACTACACCACGAACACAGATGGAAACACATAGTATTGTTGTGGTAATGGTGTTCATTACATTCATTCAACCATCAATCGATTGAATCGAACCCATTTGATCCGAAATAATATCGATACTTAGTATTACGATATTGAACCGATAGTACACGGCGTTTTGTACGTAAAAATGGCCTCCCTTCAAGATCCTTCCCTCATTATGACACTGGACACTCTGTGCCTGGTTAAAAAAAAGATATATAAAAATATCGACCAACGTACCATAACATTACGACAGTCGGGAAGTACGATAACGTTGTGTCGTAAATATTTTACGACAAACAAAACATTTTACGATAACTGCAACACTTGTTATTGTTAAAAGTGGTTGAGTGAGCGGCCGACAGAATGCGCTCACAGCACTTTCTGGTTTCTACCAACGATGTAAAGAACTACTGGGTTGTTTAACGTGGAAAAAAATGAGAAACTAAATTTTTACCCCATTAAACCCCCATAAAAACCTGTTCTTAACTCACTGTAGCAGCAAACCTAAGTACTCATTAAAATTAATGTTATTTAGATAGAAAACAAATCCGTAAATTTTAAGGGAATATTTTAAAAATTGGTGTAAATACCTGCTTCTTGTAATCCAAAATGTTGCTGCTATGACGCAACTAGTTTCAACAACTTCTCACGAAGTGATCTTCGGGCGTCCAGGGGATGTCAAATCACTTCATCAGAAGGTCGTCAATACACACATTACTCGAACATGGTCACGGTTACGAACACGAGCATTGAAAAGAAAAAGTACAATTTAACGAGCAAAAGCTAAAAATGGTCGATGGACCGGATAGATGTAGCGTCTAGACTAGTTGCGTCATAGCAGCAAAATTTTGGATTACAAGAAGCAGGTATTTACACCAATTTTTATATTCAACGTAATCCGGAGGCTACCCTCAACAATGGAATATTTTAGTAGAAATCCAGCCAGGTAAATGGAAATTCACTTAGTCTGCAGGTTTGCTGTGGCGGAGGTATTTATAATTAAATGAGTTTTAGATTTTATATTAAATTCATAACACAATTAAGAAAATTGCATAGTTCTTTGAAATGAGAATTGCATCCTTTTTAGGATATTTTCAGCATTATTCTATCTTAGTTCAAGAAAATAAGTCCAAATAAGGAAAAATAGAGGAACAAATCTATGTATTCCCAATTTTTTCAAAAATGTGTCAGGGAGGGTCCCCTAATGAATATATGATAGGTGAGAATAAAATCACCCTGCCGCTCTCTGCTGGTAGGAGGTGTAAATGCCCCAATTTGCGTTTTTTTTGCTTATCACTTAAAAACGGCGTGTCGTAGCTTAAATTGTTAAATGTAAAGGTTAAAGCTTATTAAATTTGCTACAACTTTTTGTTTGTTTTGGTAATTAATACTCAACATTTGAAAATATTTTGAATATATTAAATTCGATTTACGATATTAAATTTTAGTTTATAACTACGGTTGCAAGCGGTTGCCTGCCGCTCTCTGCTGGTAGGAGGTGTAAATGCCCCAATTTGCGTTTTTTTGCTTATCACTTAAAAACGGCGTGTCGTAGCTTAAATTGTTAAATATAAAGGTTAAAGCTTATTAAATTTGCTACAACTTTTTGTTTGTTTTGGTAATTAATACTCAACATTTGAAAATATTTTGAATATATTAAATTCGATTTACGATATTAAATTTTAGTTTATAACTACGGTTGCAAGCGAACTCTTAACTCGGCAGAAATTACACATCTGCTTAATGATGACTGATGGGTTTCGTAATACAAGTACGACAGTTTGTAACTGAACATTTGGCAGTAGAGATACAAGTACATGGCCATGAATCTGAGCAGCGGACTGAAGATTTGTATTGCGACTATTCTGATTTTGGTAAGTGGATGATATTATATCTAGTATATAGTTTGATCATTTTGTAAGAACAATTTACGTGTTTTGAATTTTGTAATTGAATATTAGAATTTTATTGTGGTTTTAGCGAATTTGCCAAATACCGTAGGTAAAATACATGGACCCCGGGACAGATACACCATCCGTTTGAATCTAAATATGTAAAAGTCAAAGCCCTACTGACTTGGCTCACTCACTCACTCACTGATTCATATCTATTTATCCAACTTCCCCACTAGCTAGAACATGTATTTCAGATAAAAAATATGAAAGTGAAATTAATAGTTTTCATAATGATTTCACTAAAGTGTTGCATTTTAGAACCCCTAACCTTCCAATGTCCTTCAGTTTGTACAGATTTGTGTTTATCATGTCTATTTGTTGGATTGGGTAGAATTGACAGCCGCTTAGACAATCTTTAAGATTTTTAACTTTGGTTTCACATTGTACGAATGTCAACTATTTGGAGGAACAGTCTTCGTGTGTTTTAACTTGGTTCTGTTCAAGCCATGGACGTTGAGATAGTAAATATATAATCAAAAACAAAACTGGCACAACAACTTACTTGGTAGTTCATTACATTAAATATTAAATTGAAATATTGGACATTTTCAGATCGTCGGACAATGCTCTGTTCAAGGAGAAAAAAAATTGAACAGTAAGTGTGATTTTGTAAAATCTTAAATTTATTTGGAACTTATTATACTTTTGCTACGGGAAGTCAAAAGGCTCATCTTGTTAGTTTGCTCTTTCATGAAATACCAGACATTAGAATATAGAGTCTGTTTACATATCTGCATTTGGGTGATGACACCAATTTGACTAGTATTAGTATTTTAGATACAAAACTAAGGTTTCGATTGTTTAATTAAAAACCTATAAAGCTTTAAAATGTGTGACAGTAGCATAGATTTTGTTTAACTATAGTAAAACTGTGTATACGTAGCCTTTTAGGTTTCTTGAAGATTGCGATTATTTTGTTATATTACGATATTTATTTGTTTTATCTGAGAATAATATAGCACGTAGCATTACCATATTAGAACTTATGTATCTTTTTCAATTTATTTTCCTTCCTCATTAACTTATTTTTCAAAGTTCTTTCTCATGTACTCTTTTAGCAAGTGACTCTTCCGTTTGTTACAATCATGAATAAATGAACACTTTACACTGCTGTTATAAATATAGAGTTTTTACTAAATCCTGATATATGAGATTTAAACAGCTTTTTGACTCGTATTTAAAATGTTTCATCTTTTACAATAAATACATCTAGAACCATGTATATAGACGCTAATAAGAATCACGAACATTTGAGAACACCAAGCCGTACAACTAACTACCTGAATGAAAGGTCTTGGTTAAAACATCCCCGTAAAACATCAGTTAAAAAACCCCCTCTGCTAAGGGCACGGACCTTAATCAAGTGTTCTATTAAATCACATTTCAAATATTTGAGCCGTCAACTGTACAATTTGTTTTATTTGTGATTGTTTACTTTTTCCTGAGTAAAACTTTCGATTCTTGTAGATTTTCTATGCTACTTATAGCCCTTTTACAATGCAATACAGGATATGAAATAGAATATTTCGTATGTAGTGCAGAAAATGTGGTTTTGTCGGTTTGATATCGAGACCTGCAAAACCCTTCAGCCCGTGATACGAGCGCTATTTTTCACCACACTATACGAAATAGAAAAAATATAGTAAACAATAAACAAAAAACAATAGTTGCTAGACAGCGGCGATAATAAAACAAGTCTATTGCAATGCATTTACATAGGTACTACTTGTGTATTAAGTAAATAAGCGAACAGGCGATTTTTCGGCCATTAGGCCGTAAAAACCTGCTCGGCCCCAAAGGACGATGGCTGCTGGCATGATGGACAGCAATACGTAGCTTTCGACCTCCAATAAACGTTTGTAAAACGGCTACAAACATCGTAGTGTGGTGAAATAGTTATTTGTAGCTAGTATGTAAAGTGGCCCTTTGCTGCACATGAGAGAAAGTTTCTCGAGTGCAGCAAAGACACTTTGAGCTCGTGTTACACATTACATTTTTTCCTACTATAAAGCATATAAATAGTAAGTCTTTCAACCAATTTACGACACGTTTTTAGGTTAGGTTAAATCCAAGTGTTAAGAAATCGGAAATACTGCACCAGCTGCTATGGCTGCAGCTGCTGCAGTCATAGTATCATTGCATGTTGCCAACCTTTTTGAACCGTACACGTATTACGTGTTTAATAAAAGTACACTGTTTCGTGTTTTTTGGTTAGAATACTGGAGTGCGGAAAAATTAAGTAGGGCCTAAATGCAGCAATTAGCTACTTTGCGTGCTATAATCAGTACAAGAAAGCCCACTTTCTCAGGTAACTGTAGGAAAAACACATTAAAGATCTCAATTAAAAAAGGTTTTGTATTCATTGAGTGAAATAAGCAATACTGTAAGTACGATTTAGCTTTCCCTCTATTATCCATATGGTGGATGTGAAACAGTTTTTAAAGGGGAGAGCATTTTAAATGCGGAATTATCTCTAAAATCCATGAATATCATATTTAATTCAAACAGAATAAGAAACTAGTGTTTAATTGATTAAATTAAAATCACCACATAATTAATTTCTGTTTTCTTACCCTGTTGCGAAGAACGGGAACAACTAGTTCTCTGTAAATTTAGTTTCATCTTTATAAAACTTAGAAATAAATAAATTTTTGACCGGATTTTTAACTATTTAATAAACACAGACTGCTCTTCTATGTCGCACGATTCTAAAAAGAATGGAATTTCAAAGATTATACATTTTCATTTCTGTCTATCTATCACAAAATATGTTATTCGATTACTAAATCTATTTTAACCCAATGAAGCAATGATTTAAAAAATCTTCTTGATTTTCAAACCCAAAGGTACATTATTAAATTGAGTTTTACATGTCACAGTTAAAACGTGTATATTCATTTATAGTGATACTGAGAGTGTAATTTTAGTATAACTACATTCGAAAACAGACTGATCCTGCAGACGAACATTTATTCCAATTTGATTGCAGTTGTCAAGGGGACAAAAAAACTCAGTCGAGCACGACTCGCAGGCATCAAAGATACATTCAAGGTGTGTGGGGATAAGTTCAAGCCTTTCAAATTCAAAGCCGTGCTCGTCGCTCATCCTCTTGGGAGTAACAACATCGGGGTGCGTATAGAAGTTCATACAACAAGGAGCTCCTTGGTAAATGGCGTAGTGAATACACTCATGATTCGCGATCACAACTTCGTAGCAGCCTACGAGGTTGAAAAGGTCGTCTTTGACGGCGGAGAGAAGAATTATAAAGAAACGGCGCGTGAAACATTAGAAGGAAATGTTTGCAACTATTTCGGAGTGGAAGAAAGCAACTTGTACAATCTACCTTTATACTACATCAAGTTCAAGTATTCAACGGACGAGGATTGGTGGTGTGACACGTATTATGGCTATGATCTGAAATACATGGAATTGGACAAGTGTAACGAGTTGATAAAGGATTACGACGCGGGAAGTATATATACAGGTAATGTACAAGATATTTGAATCCTACAGGGCATCCTTCTCAAATGGATTGATAAAAAGGCCTCATCTTTTCAGCTTCCGATACCAACTATGTATTTTTTTATTCTAGCTTTACGTGTCATATTGGTTGTAACATACGACGAAACCTTTCATAAATTAATTTTTCCATGTTTTCTGAGTTTTCAAACGCGTTGGCTGCAATATGTGTTAAGAGTATGTCAATTTGAATTGACATCATAAGAATTTATTACAATTGCGGAATCGACCAATTTCATTAAACGAGGCTTATAGACATCCCCTATTATGAAAATCTAAGCGACTATACTTAAAGGTAACTCACTCTTCTGTGGGAAATAGTTTTGACATTTAAGACCTAAACTCTACATGGTAACTAAATTATTTAGAAAATTACGGATAAATTAATAAATAATAAATAATAATTTATTTAATTAGGAGTAAAAATGTTAATTTCAAAAGGAATTGTGTTTTTGTGGGTACTTAGGCTTCTCAAAGAAGACCACAAAGTGAAAATTATTTCAATAACATTTTTACTCTCAATAACCCATTTCCACACTTTACTCTTACTCATTGCATTAGGGCCATAGCCTTCAATCATCTGGCGGTGAATGTTGGCATCGGATATGTTTCTTGTATTAACATATCACTGACCTTATCTCGAACGAGGCGGGAGATTCGATTGTTTAAGAACTACATCAGCTACATCGCTGCAAATTGCAGCGTTCTGATACAATAAAACAAACCGTTCTTCTTACAAAAAATGCACTGTTCTATTAGCCTATATCCCAACAAACAGTTCTATTTCTTACACAAAATAACTCTGTTGTATCACCTTACAACCCAACAAATAGTTCTTCTTTTTACACAAAAGAACTCTGTTGTATCACCTTACAACTCAACAAACAGTTCTTCTTTTTACACAAGAGTACTCTGTTGTATCAACCTACATCCCAACAAACAATTATTTTTCTTGCACAAGAGTACTCTGTTGAATCACCCTACAACCCAACAAACAGATCTTCTTTTTAAACACGAGAACTCTGTTGTATCACTCTACAACCCAACAAACAGTTCTTCTTAAACACGAGAACTCTGTTGTATCACCCTACAACCCAACAAACATTTCTTCTTCTTACACAAGGGTACTCTGTTGTATCAGCCTACATCCCAACAAACAGTTCTTCTTCTTACAAAAGAGTACTCTGTTGTATCACTCTACAACCCAACAAACAGTTCTTCTTAAACACGAGAACTTTGTTGTATCACCCTACAACCCAACAAACATTTCTTCTTCTTACACAAGGGTACTCTGTTGTATCACCCTACAACCCAATAAACAGATCTTCTTTTTAAACACGAGAACTCTGTTGTATCACTCTACAACCCAACAAACATTTCTTCTTAAACACGAGAACTCTGTTGTATCACCGTAAACCCCTACAAACAGTTCTTCTTAAACACGAGAGTTCTGTTTTATCACCCTACAACCCAACAAACAGTTGTCCCCCACACATGAGTACTCTGCTGTATATACGTACATCTCACTAAACAGTTTCTCCCTAAACATGAGTTCTCTGCTATATTTCTCCTCATCCAAACAATTTGGTCTTTCACCTGTACAATAGAACAATGATCCCCTATCCACATCCCGAAAAGTTAAATAGTTTTTCACCACGTTGCAATTGATACTTGTTTTCTTTTTACAGTTGTTACAACTTCGTCAGCGCCCAATTTGAAATCAAGTGAATGTAATAAAAGAACACTTACGAAAAACAATGATAAATTTAAAATTGATGCTCTATCCTGCCGCCAATATGATACCGATTCATATAAACTAAGGTTGATTACATATCACAAAGGCCTTGAGCTAGGACACTACTACTTGTCTTTCCGCGAAAAGAAGATGATAAATCTTGGTGATTTGGAAGGGCAAGAAGACAAAGTTCGCAGGCTCATTAGAATGAGAGGAGAGGAAATACATAAAGGGTCTTACACTAGAATAAGTGCTCAGTACTTAGATAAAGGATATTGGGCATGTCATGCATTCACCAAACATATCAGAAGTAATTCTTATAGTCCAGACTCATATGAGAAAGTAATATTGTTTTTTACGGGCCGCAGGTGCGACAAATTCCTCATCTATCCACGCCCACTTGCCAACCCAGACACTGTCACACCAGGTGATATGGATGATTACTAATCAAAGTGAACTGCGATGGAGATTGGTATCCTGCATGTCTATTGAAGATAATTGTTGATAAATAAAAAGTCCAATTTTTGACACATTGTTTTTTTATACAATGAAGGAGATTCGTGTTGTTCATTCTAGCATACTAATAAACAACTAACTAAAGGAATGAGAAAAACAATTGTGTGTTGTTCCTTACGTTCAGTGAACCATTTTTTGTCAACACAGTTAATGTGGAGTATGGTGTATCACAGGTATCCTTTCTTTTGCAGTCTGATTTAGACCTAAGATTTACTTTCAGCATCCAGTCTAGCAAATGATGAGAGCATTCATTTATTGCCCTGTTCGTTGGAGTGGAATCAATCTTAAAAATTTTGAATTGATTCATTGGCAAACATTCTGGCTTCCAGCAATGTTAAATAGCATTATAAAGTTACAAGATTGACAAACAGGGTGCAGCACTATTAACTTTTTGTTTGGACTTGCTGATAACAGCTAATTTGAACAAAGCAGCAACGAAATGCTGTGATACACAATGATAACTAACTGTCAAATACTACATAATTGGTGTGAGCCAATATAACCACAGGCTTAATGGAGATAGTCATATTTTATTTTAATACTCTCCTAGGGCTCTGCCCTGACAGCTTACTGTGTCCAATGTTGTTCTTCGGAGTAACCATGAAATGCCACCCAACCTGGTAAGGCAATCATTAGTTCTGTTAATACTTTACGAAGTCAAACGTAGACCCGGTAAAATGGTCAACTCACAGGGTGTCCAATAAAGAACTGAAACATTTGAAAGGTCAATATCGATGCCAAATAAAAGACAATGTTTAGTGTTTTATATTTATATTTAAAGCTACATTTTTCAAGTTTTATTAGAAACATTGTATAACTCGATATGATATACACTAGGGCATTTACATCCATTGTTTGAGGGTTTTTTACATATTTTTTTTTTAATTTTTAATAATATTTTATTTAAAATGAATCTAAACGGTTGACGTCCCTTGTTAATGTTTGCACAGGCTTCATTTTGGTTATGGGTGTTAATTGTTGAACACAAGTCAGCTGTTATTATGAGCTGAATGTTTGGTGTGGCCTCATGCACAATACGGTTCCAGGCCCTTTAATTATTGTTAAAAATTCTATAAACGGGGAAATTAATTTATTGTGATATGTTAGAGGAGTTCGTTTTCCCACAGTTGGATGACATTGAGATGGAGGATGGCCCTGTCTATTTTCAACAGGATCGAGTGCCACCACACTAGAGTTTGCGTTGGCGATAACCGCTTGATCGGTGGATTGGCAGGGAAGGGCCCATCCAATGGCCTCCTAGGAGTCCAGATATGAATTCTCTGGACTTTTCCCTTTGGGGGCAGTAAAGAATGATGTTTACTCGGTGCAGATTCGATATCTGAATCACCTCCAACAGAGAATATTCGCATGTATCGGTGCAAAATCCCCTGAAGTACTGACCAAAACCTGGGAAGAGGTCAAATTTCGCTTAGATTTATGCCAGGCCACTAATGGTGCTCATATCAAGTCATACTAAGTTTCTAATAAAACTTGAGAATTGATGCTTAAAATACATATACAGGGTGTCCCGCGACTCTCTGGACACAAGTATATAGCGTTATTGCTTAGGTAAAGACAAACACATTCTACCATAGGAACATGTCTGTGGTGCCTAGCTTTCCGTCTGTCTGTAATTATTATGTGTAAAAAAAATAATAAATAACTCCTAAACTGTTTGAGATACAGCGTTTAGATTTTGCAAAATGTTTATCTTATTATGACCTATTTTCTTTCAAAATTATTCTAAAAAAATCATCAACAGTTTCAAAATGGCAGCCCTTTCAAATATTTGATGCCTAATTTCACGAAAACCGTCAACTTTACAAACAACTTTCAGGAAACAAAAAGGTTTTTCCCTATCATTTTTCGGTTAATTTTATTATATGTGCTTTACTGTTTGGTTTTATAACTAGGGGACGAATTGTTTATGATTAGATAGTTTTATTTGGTTAAACGAGCTTTTAAATGACTTAAATAACAAGAAACAGATTGTAAACAAAACACAACCCTACAATGCACCGGACGGAACTAGCAATAAAATTGTCTTTAGCTGATCCATAAGGATCTACTAGGGAGTATGTTTTATCTATGAATTTACTCGGCTTGGGAATCGGATTATCCAGTTCTATCAATAATCAAAGATGTTACTTAATGCACCAATACAAACGCTAGAATTGTTCTTCGTCTCAGTATTTGAACTGTTTCAAGAGCCTCCACTCTTTTCATGGTGACCACTTTTTCGTCTAAAAATGCGTGCGATTTCGTGACTATCGTTCGTTTTTCTATCGAATCACGACACCATCTATACTATCGACGCGATTGTAGCTGTCATTTGACACAGATCCTGTCAGAGGCTTATTGTGATACGGACGAAATGATAGCTTTCTATAATAAAATTAAACTGTCATAACCTAACCAAACTTGCCGATAATATAAAAAATATAGAAGATAAAAATCGAATGAAGGTTTACTAATTGAAAATATTGATTCTGTTCATAAAATAAAATATATGCCTCCAATTCTAACAACAGATGTACTACAGTCAAGAAGTAATCGCATTCTAAGGACAATCTTTACCAAAAAAGTTAGTGTCACCGGTGGGATTCAATCTGGTTACCTCTCGGTCATCAGACTAGTACCTTTGAATATCGATACAACAGTATCCAATAGTCAGTCTCCAATAGTCAATGCTAGTACTCTATCCACTACACCACGAACACAGATGGAAACACATCGTATTGTTGCGGTAATGGTGTTCATTACATTCATTCAACCATCAATCGATTGAATCGAACCCATTTGATCCGAAATAATATCGATACTTAGTATTACGATATTGAACCGATAGTACACGGCGTTTTTGTACGAAAATTGATCACCCTCCAAGAACCTTCCCTCATTATGACACTGGACACTGTGTCTGGTTCAAAAGAAGGTATATAAAAATATCGACCAACGCACCATAACATTACGACAATGAGGAAGTACCTACTATAACGTTGTACGACAAACAAAACATCTATACTATTATATAAAAATCTAATGGTGTCTGTCTGTATGTGTATTACTAATAGGTGCAAAAACTACTGAACCAACTGGGCTTAAATTTTACAAAAATATAGTTACCATACCAAGGACCATTATAGGACTATTCACACTTCCATACTGATCATGGGCTTTGCCCCTTTGGCTTTAAAGGTTCTGAGGTGAGGATTTTAAAAGTAAATATTGATTGGTCTCCATGGCTGCAATGAGAATACTTACAATGTTTACATTTGCTTTGACATTTCAATGTAAACAAGAAGAACTGCCAAATTGCATATTTCACATTTTAAGACAGCTGATCCAATGAAATTTAATATAATATTTCATACAATTATGTGGTTGGTTTATTTAATCTAAAAAATTATCAAAGATCATTTATTCAAAAACTATGTCAATGATTATAGAAATAACAAAATGTTCTAAACGCATTGCTGCATCACCTCAGGCTCTACTTTTGATTTTAAGGTGTCTTAAGTGTTATGAAAATAATGTTATTGATATTTTTCATGGAAACAATAAGAAAATAACAATGTATAGATGTTTTATATGAATTTGGAGTCTACTTTAGGTAAATTCGAACTGCTTAACATGTGTAAGATTAACTTAACATAACTTTCACTTCACATTGTTTTTTTTATATGTATATTTAGGTAAATTTAGTTATTGTGCTTTGCTACTATACCAATGCTTAAATTAAACTAAAGAATATCATCAATAATTAAATTGTATATCGTTGATTTAAATACTATTATTTTATCTTAACATAGCTTTCAGTTCACATTTACTTTATTTGATAAATTTATTATTTGTGTTTTGTCACATCACTGATTAAATTAAATGAAAGGAAAATATAATAAAACTAAGCAGTACACAGTGTTCTTTTGTTTCTAAAATCAATGAAATATCTGTTACCATGTTTACTTAATGGTAAGTGTGAAAATGTAAAGGCAATAGACGATGGAACTGATTAAAAGAACTGGTATGGTATTAAGTTGTTTGTTGATATTTTTGTAGAGTAGAATCAGAGATGCAATGAAACATATACTGTATTTGCTATTACATTTTTTTTGTCCTTGGTCCTTGATGCTTTGATAATCATATTAGTTTTGTCTGCTGTCGTTAATACTAAAATTATTTGTTTAACATTTTTTATAGTACAGATATAGTTTTTTTAATATTTCAAAAGACTATTGATAAGGCTCAATAATATTTCTAAAGATTATAACAGCTGACTTAGTTTTGCTAATGATTTATTGTGAGTGAAGAAACTGAAGATGGAAGAATTTGTGATTTAATATGAAAAAGAGTAAAATTAAAAAAATGTTCATTTAAATAAAAAAATTAGTATTTTTGCAACTTCAAAATAGAAATTTAAAATTTCAAAAATAAAGAAAAAAGGTATGCACAAAGGGAGATGAAGGTAAATCATGTATGTGAAAGTTTTATTCGAAGATATGGTAAGTTTTTCTCATATCAGCCTACACAAGATTTAAAATTAATTAAGATTTAAAAATGATAACTTAAACGTTTCTATTAAGGCCATAAAAGTTGAATTTTGTTTCTAAAAGCATTGGTGGATGTGTAACTTTATTATATGCAACAGATGTAAAGATAAAAATGTTTCTTTTTTGTGTCCTCTTTCCGTTGCAAAGCACGGGTACAACAGCTAGTTTTACGATAACTGCAACACTAACTTGTTATTGTTACAGCTGTTTGAGTGAGCGGCCGACAGAATGCGCTCACAGCACTTTCTGTTTCTAGTTTGTACCAACGATGTAAAGAACTACTGGGTTGTTTATCGTGGGGGAAAATATGGGAAAACCAATGTTTACCCCATTAAACCCCCCATAAACCCCCGTGACCATAGTTCGATCATACTGGTTCGTAAACTCGTTCGAATAAACGTAGGTTTACACCAGTTTACACGTTAGTACATCAAAATAGGATCAGTTTTGCTCTAGTTATCGCGCTAACAGATACACACTTATATAAATACTAGCTGTTGTACCCGTGCTTTGCAACGGGAAGAGGACACAAAATAGAAACTTTTTAATCTTTATATCTGTTGCATATAATAGTTACACATCCGCCATCGCTTTTAGAAACAAAATTCAACTTTTATGGCCTTATTAGAAACGTTTAAGTTATGACTTTTAAATCTGGTAAGTAGTGGATACTGTAACACATTTTGGTTTTGATTAATTTTAAATATTCTGTAGGCTGATATGAGAAACACTGACCAATGACATTTTAAATTTCAATTTTGAATATGCAAAAATACTAATTAATTTATTTAAATGAACATTTTTTTTATTTCACTTTTCTTCATATTAAATCACAAATCCTTCATCTTCAGTTTCTTCACTAAAAAAAACTAAGTCAGCTGTTATAAGCTTTAGAAATATTGTTGTGCCTTATCAATAGTCTTTTGAAAGTATTAAAGAAACTATATCTATACCATACAAAATTTTAAACAAATAATTTAGCATTAAAGACAGCAGACAAAACTAATATGATTATCAAAGCGCCGAGGACCAAAAAATGTAATAGCAAATACAGTATATGTTTCATTGCATCTCTGATTCTACTCTACAAAAATATCAACAAACAACTTAATAGCATACCAGTTCTTTTAATCAGTTCCATCGTCTATTGCCTTTACATTTTCACACTTACTATTAAGTAAACATAGCAACAGATATTTAATTGATTTTAGAAACAAAAGAACACTGTGTACTGCTTAGTTTTATGATATTTTCCTTGGTTTAATTTATCAGTGGTGTGGCAATACCCAAATAATAAATTTATCAAATAAAGTAAATTAGAACTGAAAGCTATGTCAAGATAAAATAAGAGTATTTTGTATTACCATTTGATAATTAAATATTAGGCCTATATGTATACACTGTTGTATACACATATACAACAGATTTTAGAACACAAAATCTACGTACAATTTAGTTATTGATGATATTCTTTAGTTTAATTTAAGCATAGGTTTAGCAAAACACAATAACTAAATTTACCTAAATATACATATAAAAAAACAATGTGATGTGCAAGTTATGTTAAGTTAATCTTACACATGTTAAGCAGTTATTTAAAGAAATTTATTTAAAGAAATCTCAAATTTATTTAAAGAAGCCTCCAAATTCATACAAAACACATTGTAATTTTCTTACTGTTTCCATGAAAATATATCAATAACATTTTTTTCATAACACTTAAGACACTTTAAAAATCGAAAGCAGAGCCTGAGTTGATAGAGCAACGCTTTTAGAATATTTTTTGTTATTTCTATAATCATTGACATAGTTTTTGAATAAATGACCTTCGATAAATTTTTAGATTAAATAAACCAACCACATAACTATGTGAAATATTATATTTTATTTCATTGGATCAGCTGTCTTAAATTGTAAATATGCAATTTGGCAGTTTGTTCTTGTTTACATTAAAATGCCAAGGCAAATGTAAACATTGTGAGTATTCTCATTGCAGCCATGGAGACCAATCAATATTTACTTTTAAAATCCTCACCTCAGAACTTTTAAAGCCAAAGGGGCAAAGCCCACTGTCAGTATCGAAGTGTGAATAGTCCTATAATGGTCCTTGGTATGGTAGCTATATTTTTGTAAAATTTAAGCCCAGTGGGTTCAGTAGTTTTTGCACCTATTAGTAATACACATACAGACGGACACCATTAGATTTTTATATATTAGTATAGATATAGATAAATGAATTTGAACGGAGGGTGTTTTGGCCTCTAGGGACCTCAAAACGAAAAAGTAGATCGGTCTGGGGTCCAGGTCTTACCAGGAGTACTACGGTAATAGCTTATTCCCGATATATAGGTAATTCGCTAAAACTAAATTTATAATTACCATGTTATTCTTATGGAGTATAAAAACGGATGTAGTTTGCTTGTATTTATATTTAACACTATATATTTATTTTGTGTATATATTTTAATCGAATTCGGCTATTTCGTTTCTTTAATACTATGCTATCGACATTTCAATAAAAACTTACTGTAGCAGCAAACCTAACTACTCATTAAAATTAATTTTATTTCAATAGAAAACAAATTTGTCAATTTTAAGGAAATATTTTAGTTGAAATCCAGCCAGGAAAATTAAAATTCACTTAGTCTGCAGGTTTGCTGTGGCGGAGGTATTTATTGATTAAAGGACTTATAGATAATTATATAAAATTCATAACCCAATTAAGAAAATTGCATAGTTCTTTGAAATGAGAATTGCGTCCTTTTTATGATATTTTCAGCATTATTCTATCTTTTTGTTTTGGTAAATAATACTCAACATTTGAAAATATTTTTAATATATTAAATTCGATTTACGATATTAAATTTGAGTTTATAACTACGGTTGCAAGCGAACTCTTAACTTAGCCGAAATTACTTATCTGCTTAATGATGACTGATGGGTTTTATAATTATTTAATTTTTAGAATTAACAGAACATGAGCCAGTTTCAACGTCTACAAGTACGACAGTTTATAACTGAACATTTGGCAGTAGAGATACAAGTACATGGGAATGAATCTGAGCAGCGGACTGAAGATTTGTATTGCGACTATTCTGATTTTGGTAAGTGGATGATATTATACCTAGTATATAGTTTGATAATTTTATGAGAACAATTTACATGTTTTGAATTTTGTAATTGAATATTAGCATTTTATCGTGGTTTTAGCGAATTTGCCAAATAGGGAATAGGTTATTACTGTAGTTATTGTCTAGCTTTCCATAAGACCAATATTGAAAATATAAATATTTCATTTAGGTTTTTTAACGAAAAACTAATTTTCCCAGAACAGTGGCTAGTATGGATATTGTTTTTAGCCCGAAACTAAGATATTCCTAAATATTTAGAGGACATCATAGGAGCCGTTCAGCCGTTTTTGAAATTATTGTGTGCAAAACGTTACTCGTATTGTAGTATAGATGGGTACGTTATCGCATATTGTTGTGTAACTACGGTAGCGAAAGAGAATCGACCGAAATTACACATCTGCTTTATAATGACCAATAATGGGTTTCGTAATGAAGAGAACTAATTTACAGAACAGGCATTTTAACATTTACAATTGGAATAAGGCATAACTGAAAGTCCCACATTGGAGGTACAAGTACATGGAAATGGCTCTGGGCAGCCAACTGGTGATTTCGTTTGCGATTATTCTGATTTTGGTAAGTGTGGACAATATTATACCTAGCACAATGTTCGACTATTTTATAAGAACAATTCACCAATTTTAAATATTTTAATCGAATCTCAGCATTTTTATCGTGGTTGTTAACTTACCAGTATAGTTAGTGTAAATATAATACAGATTAGTACGAAATAGAATGTCAGGAACCTCTTTAAATAATAATTTGTATTGAAAATTGAAAATTATGGTTTAACATGTAGAGCCAATGGGGACAAGGAAATATCAGCAATTTCAAGATGTAATTATGTATTTACTACACTGACCACAGGCATGTAAGGGTCCAACGATTTTGAAGTATTCAATTAGTCTTTCGTTATACTCTTGGCAATACCATTACTAATATTACTTTAATTTCATTTGCCCACATAAATGTTAGATCTAAAAGTAAATAAAAAATAATAACAAGAGTAAAAAGTTAGCGGTTAAAATAGTTGAGAAAATATGTATAATGTGCGAAATCTATCAAGCACTTTAAATATGAATGAGAATATAGTGATTACTTAAAAGTTAGGTCTTTTGGCAACACTTCAAAGACTAAAATATTTTAAGTTAAAAATATGCATTGGACAATTTATCATGCAGATAGAAACCTTACAATACTTATAGATTTTTTTAGGTTATGCCTTCTATTTTTAAGCTCACGATGATGGGACATCTTTCGATGTTACAAAATGCGTGTTGAGTCGAGGAAATCGTAACAAATGTTTATTTGCGTTGGTCAGCAAAATAAAAAAAGATAGTTAACATTACTTTTGAATAGTAAACAATGTAATGATGAGTTTTTGCAGTTGATAAACGTACAACTAGTACAGTGCAATAAGCTTGAAAAAGACCAAACCAGGACATAAAAAAAGTTTCAAACCAGCGCCAAATTGTTGAATACACTTCCATCAATATGTAAAAAAAAGTTAAACTGATTTGAGTGTCGGGTTTGGGGAGGAGGGGTTGAAAATAGGATTATTTTTACTTTTTCGCAAATACCTCAAAAACGGTGCGTTTTCCTCAAAATATAATGAACTACAAAATTAATCTACATTAAATTTCAAACAAAATGATATCATGGAATATCTGTCTACTATGAACGGTTCAGGAGATATTTGCGGGTAAATGTGATTTTTTATTAAAATTCCAAAAAAGTAGTTTTTTTAAATGTAGAAAAACCATGTACACCCATAGAAAAAGTTTCTAATGAGTGCCAAACTGTTCAATAGACCTCCCTTAATATGTGTAAAAAAGTTACACTGGTTTCAGTGTCGGATTTGGGAAGGAGGGTTTAAAGAAGAGGAAGGGGAATAAGACTTTTTTACTATTTTACAAATATCTCGAAAACGATGCGTTTTTACTGATATATTATGAATTACCAAAATAAAGAACATTACATTTCGAGCAAGATGATACCATACAATACCTATCTACTATGAACGGTTCAGGAGATATTGAGGGGTAAATGTGATTTTATCTGATGATAAAAAAGTGGCTTTTTAAATGTAGGAAACCCACGGACACCCATAAAAAGGTTTGTAATGGGTTCTAAATCGTTAGTTAAACCTCTCTTAACATGTTTAAAAACGTTACACTGATTTGCGTTCCGGTTTTAGGTAGAAGGGGGTGAAAACAGGATGGGGAATATTATTCATGAGTAATTTTGTAAATTTGGTATCATTTTATAAGAGCCAATATAATCAATTAACTTATCTTTTCTTTATTTTTCAATGTTTTATCTAAATATGTAAATACTAGCAGAATGCCCGTCCGTCGTACGGGGTTGGCATATTAGCATAAAATGCTTATTGCAGTTATGCTCAAGCTTTGCGTTTGCAATGGGGGAGGACACAGTTTGATAAAATTTGATTTTTAAAATTTACGGTATACTATAGTATTACACATCTACCATAGCCATAATGTTATACCACTTCCCCTAAACAACAGAGAAAAATTATTAAAAATTAGAAATATCGCAAATTATTCATGAAATTAAAAACATAAACTTAACTGTAAACAATCCTACTTTGATAGTTCTCATTGCGTATTACAGTTTTTTGTTGCTGCTTAGTTCAAATTAGTAAAATGCAAAAAATAATAGTGCTGCACCCTGTTGGTAAGCCTTATAACATTTTAATGCTTTTGCATATTATAAAACCAACTTTTTTAGTTGAAACAGCTGACTAAATTCTTTAATTCCCTTTAAATATGAATACTCATAAGGTTAACATGGGGAACTACGGAGCCACTGGGGCGGAGCCCGAAAGGATTTTTGAGATAAGAATTTGCCTATATGTTAATCGGGAATGGGATCTATCATCATGCCAAATTTCAGCCCAATCCTTCCAGTAGTTAATGCGTGATTGAACTTCAAACAAACAAACAAACAAACAAACACACAAACAAACACACAAACTTTCACATTTATAATATTAGTAAGATAAGATAAGACAAGATGAGATGATGGATGTTGTGTTTGTATACTACTTAATCGCACGGGAACCACTCAAAAGATCTAAATAAAACTTCACATGGAGGTAGCCAAATCAAATAAAACCAAAATAGAACCAAAATAATGTTTATTTCAGTAAGTAAAATACTATGTTACAATACTTTGTCAGTACAAATTTTATAGTTATGCCCGTTATGCCATAGTTATGTAATAATATACTGACATAGTCATTAAATATTCCTCTCATATAGGCTACTGCCCGTGCGTGAGAAATTTCCTCTGTAAATAAATATTATAAATTGAAACAAAAATTAGATATTTATAAAAAAATACATGACAGTTAATTGGTAATAATTTGATTGAAAGAAAAAAATAAAGAATAACTAAAATAAAAAAATAAAGGAATACAAAATACCGAGAAGACAGTTTTATTATTTAGATAGTTAGTGCAGCTTGGACTAATAAAATCCAGACAAAACTCAAAAAGCAGAAACCATTCGAATTGTCAAACTTTCGATGTTTGCTACTAGCCTGTTTGGAGATAGTAGCTTCTTAAAATTTGATAAAGTAAACGTGTTAACAATTGTTAACATATTATGTTTGGATTAGGATTTGAAATAGATACTTGGACTCGTTCATCAACGTCCTGCCCGTTGCAAAGAATAATTGCAACAGCTTGTTTTCACTTAATTAGTTTTTTCTTATTTCATTACGTTTAAAATGGCCTCCTTGAATTAATAGAGACATCTTAGTCATTTTTCGTGATAGCAGGTCAACAACATCAGGGGTTGTAAGCTGCCGTACTATGACTAGAAACCTCAAAATATTCTTCATTTAGTCGTGCTAGAATACTCTTTTCCATATAGGGAATAAGCTATTACCATAGGTCTCATTGAAAGACCTAGACCCTAAACCCTAAACCTTTCCTCGGATTAAATTTGACCACTGCTCGGATTTGGTCCATCCCCACTCAAATCAGTGTAACTTTTTTACATAATGAGGGAAGTGTATTCAAAACAATTTGGCGCTGGTTTGAAACTTTTCTTGATGTCTTGGTTTAGGTCTAATTGCACCGTACTAAACCTAAACAGGTAATTTCACAGTAGTTCAGCAAAAATGTATTTTTCATATTAATTTAAATTGTTATTCAAATTTTAATTTAGTTAGAGTAGATTCAAAAGTATAGACGCTCGAAGAGTAGACAAATCGGCCAGTCCCAGTAAGCTGTGTAAGTTAGATTGATACTTTAGAGGTAGATTGAATCTTTTTGGCGCAGTTCTGGGTCCTTTGGTGTAGTCCCGGGAACCCGGTGGCACAGTTCAGGTAGCCTAACTGGGCCCTTTTCTGTAGTCCCGGGAACATGGTGGCGCAGTTTGAGAGCCTAACTGGGTCCTTTGGTGTAGTCCCGGGAACCCGGTGGCACAGTTCAGGTAGCCTAACTGGGCCCTTTTCTGTAGTCCCGGGAACATGGTGGTGCAGTTTGAGAGCCTAACTGGGCCCTTTGGTGTAGTTCCGGGAACCCGGTGGCACAGTTCAGGTAGCCTACTTGGGCCCTTTAGTGTAGTTCCAGGGACTTGGTTCTGCTCAAGCCATATATTTTTAAGATGGTAAATAATAACAACCAAAAACAAAACTAGCACTATAGCTTACTTCAAAGTTCTTTACGTTAAAAATTAAATTGAAATATTGGAAATTTTCAGATTGTCATACAATGCTCTGGAGAAGAAAAAAAATGGAACAGTAAGTGTGCTTTTGTAAAATCTTAAATTTATTTTTAACTTATAACATACTTGTCCTTAATGTATGTATGTTTAGGTGTGTGTGCGTGCGTGCGTGTGTGCGTGTGTGTGGAAGTGTACAGAGCTACAGACCACACTTGTGGTCCGATTGTAATGCAATTTGGCATGTGACTAGTCCATAGTACCTCCAGACATTTGTTAAAGTTTTTAAAATTTTATTTAAGGGTGGTTTCCCCATAAAACCCCTAAAATAACGGAAAATCAGAACGATCCTTTACAGAAAAAAGACCAAAATTCACAAGCTTGCCTGACACAGAAAAGTGCCCTTGAATCAACATCTCTACTGATACTCCGTGATAATGTTGCTCATTGGCATTGCTTTACAAAGGGTGTGGATTCTTCGCACGTCATTAGACAACACTTTCTCTTGTTGAAAAGACAGTTTAGGAATAGCATCAAAGCTGCCAAGTCTTTTAAAGTGCTTGATATTATAAATAAGTCTGTTAATAAAACCGAGATTGTCTGAAAGATTGTAAATGAAAATAGAGGCTTGAGGAAACCATCTTCTGATATTATCAACATCAAGGATGAGAGTGGTTCAAGTATTGGTGATTGAAAATTGGTTTCTAATATGTTCAATAGATATTTTGTGAAAGTAGGCAGTGAAAATTGAAATGCTCGCCGAAATTCTTCTACTAATTTGAAATCTGTTTCTTCTGAAACCTTGTTTTTCTTAATACCTGTAAGCAAGAAAGAGGTAGTAGAAATAATCATCTCCTTGAAAACAAAGCCATCATCAGGCTGTGATAGTGTGTCATCAAATCTTCTGAAGTCCTGTTGTGAATTTTTGGTATATCGTTTGGTTCATATCATCAACCAATCCTTTCAAACGCGAAGTTTATCAGTCGCAATAAAATTATCTATTGTAAAGCCAGTCTACTAGTAAAGCAGTGTTCAAGATCTAATGATTTAGACCTATTTCAATAACTTCCAACATTTTCAAAAACGATTGAAAAGGCAGGTATTTTAAATAGGTTGTTGACTTTCGTGAACCAAAACAATCTTTTGTGCCCCAATCAGTTTGGTTTCGTCAAAGGTGGGTCTACTGTCAATGCAATGTTTTTGAATCATCGATAGGTTGTGAATGCATTAGACAAAAGAGCATCCTGCCTCTGAAGTCTTCTTTGATCTGCGGAAAACTTTTGATATGGTATCTCATGATTTATTGCTAGAAAAGCTTGACAACGTTGGAGTACGAGGAGTGACGAATCCATGGTTGTCTTCTTATCTCAGAGGACGAAGGCAAGTCGTTCAATTACCATACACAGAAAATAACACCCTGAAAAGTGCAATCCTGATGTCTTGTTTGTCAAAGCTGGTGTGCCTCAAGGTAACATTTTAGAGCATTTTATATTCATCCTGTACCTAAATGACATCGGAAATTTAATTTCAGATGCCCATCTATGTCTATTTGCAGATGACACATCTATTGTTATGGAGAAACCTACCCACAATGCGATGGAAGTAGCTACTTTTTTGGAGTCCAATAAAATCATCCAATATTTCAGAATAATGGTCTAGCCATAGACAATCACAAAACTGCTTTAATTGACTTCAGCATATCATGAAAGAAAGAAAGAGTTTATCTCATCCCTGTGTTTGGATCTACGATGTTGCGGTGTCCCCTGTGAATAATTTGAAGTTTTTAGGGCTAAACATTGACAAGAGTCTGAAATTCACATGTCATACTGACATTGGCGCACGAAGGATAAATTCCGGCACTTTTGTTTTACGTCGGCTGGCTCCATTTGCAGAAAAAACTGTTCTTCTCTCAGCATACTATGCAGTGGTGTTCCCCATTCTCTCATATGCAGTCACGGTATAGGGAACTGAAACGTCTGCAACAAAACATATTTTTGCACTCCAGAAAAAGGCTGTGCGGGTTATTGCTGGTTGGAGAGAATCATGTAAATCGATTTTCATTAACTTATACTCACTTTCCCTTGCATCTATATTTACGACTAGCTGTGTGCCCGTTCTACGCACGGTGATCTTATCGTAGTCAGTTAAAACCTTCTTATATTAAGCACAGCAGTTGGTTTGCATACTTTCAGATATGCTGACAAAACTATTATATAAACCTTCGCAAATACAGTATCTGACAGTTTCAAGCCAAAAATAATGCTTCGCAATTAAATGTCACCCGGATCTTGTTGGTCCATATGTTAAATCCAATGATTAAACTAAAAAATGCTTTAAATATCTATGAGGCATAGCCCTGAGGTAGGACTATAATTGAAATTTACTTTCCACAATGGTTAAAAGTATTTAAGGTACCTACTACCTCAACCTCACAATTTAACACTTTATTTGTATTGACATTTTCATTATCATGGTGGTCTTGTACTTTCCGTGAAACACTGAGAAATTATATCATTAATGCGTTACCAACAGACATACACAAACAAATACAGAACTTAATTAGGGAATTTGCTATGCTTTAAGCATAACAAAGTACATCCTTATATATAATACGTGAAGGCGATTTCTACAAAACACTACTCCTCCGTTAATAATGGACGGATTTGTACAAACAACGTGTCAAAATAAAGTATTTTTTTGTGTAGACGCCCCGCCCCCTTTCACCAATTCCTGTAATAAAAATCCTCGGGCTTTGCCCCACAGGCCATCAAAATTGGATTTTCTCCCATAAGATTAACATGGGGGAATTGAAATATTTAATTGGAAACTTTGTCCCCACTAATTTGAGAGATCGGCTGGGCATAGGAACTTGGTAGGGGTGTCCAAAGAAAGGTCTTGGTCTGTAGATGAGTAATCAAAAGAAAAACTAAGCAAAATCACTTAGGGCTCTGCCCCAGAAGCCTTTAAAGATGACTCCACAGATTTGTTTACATTTTGGCCATGTGAATAATACTTTTTAATAAAACAGCTGTTCCTTTTTAAATTGTATCTCAAACAACACATATTTATTGGGAGTTACTATTTTAGTTAGAAAATATAAATAAAATTAGAAGCTTTAACATTTAAAGCTCAGAAGTTTATTTACCATTCCACTCAAGACTGAAACATAAACATGTCTGATATTGTTTACCTCCAACTAACATATGATACATTTAACATATGATAATATGTGAATATAACATTATAATACATCTTTCCCCTTTAAAAAACAGCAAACAAATTTGAAAGAATTAACTAAAAACAGTAACCAACCAAACTTCTCCCTTCTTTTGAGACCATTCCATTATATTGTATTCTGAAATCTTGATGGTAGCTTGATTTCTCTACGAGGTCTTAGTTGTACTGGCTCGTCTTGCCTTGGAACTGACTGGGAATTGTTTTGTTGAGTGAGTGATGGTTTCAGATGGCAGCGATTTCTTCTTAATGTAGCCCCGTTATCACCTTCTACCCAGTAACTTCTTGGAGTTGGTCCTTGATTAACAATCTTTCCCTGCTCCCACCTTCCTTCATTTCTGAAGACAACTCTTTCGTTATTTCTTACAACCCTTAAGTCTTTGGCTGACCGATCATAATATTTTTTCTGCAGGTGTTGTCTTGTATTTAACCTGTCTTGTACTCCATCATTCAGCGTTGGTTTCCCTCAGTGACCGGGATCGTTGTTTTACACCTGCGTTGTGGGATAGCACCCTCCTTAAGCTGAATATGATGACATATCGATATCGATAACATAACATATCGATGACACTCTCTTAATGAGTCCTAAATTGACACAATCTTTCAGTCCTAAAATCGGCAGTTCATGTTCGACATTCACTACAGCAAAATTCACATCTGCAGTTACACCTGTAATTGTTTTACATTGTAATATCACAAGACCTAGAGGTTTGATTTTGAATTTTTCATCACACCAGGCTGAGAGTACATAAGAACTACGTTTTACGTGTGTAATGTTCATTTTCCGTACATAACTAGCAGGTAAAACACTGATCTCTGCACCTGTATCTAGTTTAAATTTAACTTGTGTACCACCAACAGTCAAGTTTTCCATCCACGATTTTTCACTTTGACCTTTCACTCAACTAATGTTTAAGCTTACCGAGCCTAAACTAACATCGCTCACACAAGAGTCTTCATCGTGTTGTTCCTCGTTTGTAACAGCATGAGATTTTATAGTTTTGCTCCTACAAACCTTTGCAAAATGATTTTTACCATCACATTTCGAGCATGTTTTGCCATATGCAGGACATTTACCCCGTACATGTTTGTAGCCGCAAAAGCTACATAGATCATTCTGTTTTTCTTTTGCAATACTCCGCGAAAGTTCTTGATTTGGTACATTATTAACAACACATACACTGTATGGATCCGACTTAGTCCCCGAAAGCTTGGTTTCATTGTGCTCTACAATAGTCCTACATTGATCCTTGCTACTCTCTACAATCATACAGAAATCAATAGCTTTTTTCAAGTCAAGTTTTGTATCTCTTAATAGACGCTCTTGAGTACTTTTATCTCTTATACCTAAGACAATTCTATCTCTAATCATATTGTCAGGTTCAAGAAACTCGCATGATTTAGCTGCTATTTTTAACTGCATAACAAACTTACTGAAGTCTTGACCTTCTTCCTGCTTCATTCTATAGAATTTAAACCACTCAAATATAACATTTTTCAGAAGACAACAGTAAGATTCAAACTTATCAAGTACGCAATCAAAACTATCTTTGTCATTATCTTCAAATTTAAAAGTATTATATACATCTAGGCCATCATCGCCTAACAGATTAAGCAGCTGCGCAATCTTAACTTCATCTTTAAGTTTCTTACCATGACCAGTTCCTATTAAGTACAGTTCAAACTTCTGACGAAATCTTTTCCAATTTTCACTCACATTTCCTTCAAAACTCATAGGTTCAGGCAACCTAAACAATCCAGATCTTCCATTATTTCTTCTAGGTTTCAAAATACACCTGACACCATGTTTTAGTTAGAAAATATAAATAAAATTAGAAGCTTTAA